GCAGGCTCTTTCTCTATTTCCTTCTCACAGTTGATTAACCAGAATGAATGGTAGGAAATGGACTTCCACCCTTAAAATGTAATTGAGTGTTTCTGCTTGTGGATGCTCTCAGGATGCTGGGAGGCTTGGAGGTGTGTGCGGTCCCTGTGCTGAGAAGTTACCCTAAGGCACTCTGGAAAATCTCGTAAATGATGTACAGCCCCTGAGCAAGTGGTTGCAGCCTGCCAAGAGCACAAGAGATTTGGTTTTACTCAAAAATGCAAATAATATTGCGTTCATCTTGCCTCTCTTATCATCCAGCATGTTCATATGTCTGAGGTGCTACAAATGCATTTTTCTATCTCTGCAGTCCCTTTGCAGCCTCTTATGGAAATTCCTACCTCAGTGTTGCTCTTGCTGAAAGCTTACTGAAAGTTAGGTGGATAATTGGCACCAAGTTTCTTTTAAGGTTCCTTCCCTGCTTGACTGTGAAAGGGGTGGACTTGAAACGGAGAGGACTTTTTAATGCTTCACCTTTCCTCATCCAGGCAGCCCCCGAGTAGCACAACACGCGTGATTTTGTACCACTGGTACTCTTCCAGCACGTGTTTCCCGCAGTGATGCTCCTCCAACTTGCATGTCAGGCAGCCAGAGGAGCTGCTGTTTTCCATCTTCTACCTCCAGCCTGTCCCTCCCTGCTCCTGAGTGACGTGGGCTGCTTAGCAGGCTGCTGACAAGTATCAAATCTGTTCTTGGGCACTGCTCCATGTTCAAGCAACAAAGCTTACAAATTAAGCCTCCTGTCTTGGCCAATTTTGTTTCTCCACCTGGAGAATTCGTTTTGGCCTGTGAGTAACTCAGTCAAACATCTGCAGTCCTGGCTGGTTCCTTCGCCAGCAGCTCACCCACTTGAATTATCTGGCTCCTCTCCATTCTTGAGGGCTGCATTTCTCCTGGCAGGACTATGTCCCTAGATGTCACGTGCCATCCAGGCTCAACTTTATTCATTTCTTTGATGTACTTGGACTGGAGATGAAGCCAATCCTAAAACTGATTGGATTTTTTTGTTTTAGACTTAAAATTCTAAAAGTCCTTTACAGCTGCTTTCCAGGAGTCCCTGGTGGAGTCCTTCTGAGACCTGTGCTTCTTTCTGCTCACTCTGAACAGTGCTGTAGATTCAGCAGATGAAGGCTGTTCTCCCATTTTAAGATCTGAGATTTCATGAGATCATGTGTAGCTCAGTGGTATTATACTGAATGAAGAGCTAATTACCTATGTTGTTATTATGAATTGCTAATCATCAGTACTATTAGTGGTAGCAATGACAGTGATGCTGTATGATCTCTCTCTGCTCTTCCCTGTGAGTGGGAAGCGTTTCTGTCTGCTTTCTAAACAGAAAACCTGAATTGCAGAGGTTTAACGGTGTGATTAGTCTTGCAGCAGGCCTGCTGCCGCTGGCCCTGGGGGTGTGCCATGAAACCCAAGACCAGGAGGTGCATTACATGATGCTTCATCTCAGCTCTCTGCTGTCATGTAGGAAAGTTAATCAGAGACTCAGGGGATGAAGATCGTGGTGGTTTTTTTTTTTTCCTTTTTGGTTGCTGTGACAGTATTTTTAATTTAAGTCCAGCATGGATAAAGTACTCGTAAGAATTTCATTGGTTTATAATCTTTTACTGACCCTTGTGGTTACTCGTGAGATGACCTTGTCTCTTTTGTGGCTGGGGGGCTCTTGAATTTCCCTGAAGTGGCTATTCCAGTGCATATTTACACTGAGATTTATTTTACTCTTCCACCCACCAAGGTGATAAGCAACAATCATCCATTTTCCTGGTGACTTTAAGCACCGACCACTCTGGAGAAGAAAAATGTGACACATTGAGCTTGACTGGTATGGCATATGGTTTCCATGATGAATGCCCTTCCTTTGAATTCTGTTTGTTCCTGCTGTCTCTGTAGAATCAGTTATTCACAATGTCATGTAACTAAAATGCATTGTAGTCATCTACTCAGGCAGAGCTCGGCTTCCTCCGAAGCCGTGTCTCCTGTTGCTGTGCTGCGTGTGGGAGTACCGACCTCTCAGCTTTCCTTCTAATGCCTCCCCGGACAGTGCTGAAAGATGAATATTTTGGGGGGCTTTTGGGGCACATGGTTGACAAGAGCCAAGGATGAGAATGGGTGAACATCTCTCAATATTCCTCATCCCAGAATTGGCCAAACTGTGGAGGACCAGCTATGAAGAAAGTCCTGGAGGTAAAGCTGGGCAGGAGGCAGCATGTTTCCTGCTCAGGTTTTCTTTCTGGTGATTTGGGAGATTTTTGCAAGTCAGTGGCATAAATAGCAATTATGCTGAATAAAAGAGGAGACTTATTTACTACTACCAAACATTCCCATGGGACTTTCTGTGTTTTCATTTAGAACTGGCAGGAAAACTTCAGCTGAAATATTTTTAGGTGAAATATGGCATTTTGATATAAATTCTCCCCCTTTTCTTTTAATATGTTCTGAAATTTTGTTGAAAAGCTCTCAGACACAAATTCTGGGAGTTTTCCAGTTGCTGCAAACAGGGAATATTTCAGTTCCTGAACGGTGATGAATCTAGTGGAAGAGAGACGCGTGCTTTTATTAACACATTTCATAAAGAAAAATACAGTCTTTTGACAAATTCCAGCTTCATCAAACCTCTCCTATCTCCTGGAGATAAGAGAAAGAGCAAGTGATGCATTCCTTTGCCAGGAAGACCACACATCGAAACCCTCCAGTCTTCAACCTGGATGATTTTGCTACAGAGCTGTAGTGCTCAGAAGATAGACAATGAGCAGAGATCCAAGGTACTGTCTTCTCCTGGAAGTTACCTACCCAGCTTCTACAGCAGTGCCAAACCTGCCAGCTCCAGGGAACAGGAGGGCGCGGGTGGCTTTAACCTCAGCAACGTTCCTCGCTGGTGTCTTATGAAAAGCCTGCGTGGCTGTACAGAAACTGCTGAAGGTTTGCAACTTAGCACCCTTTCTCCCTCATTTTCTCATATGTTTAAAGTTGAGATTAAGGGGACAAGTCCCAGGTAGCTTTTACTTTCCTTAGGCCAGATAGGAGCTGGCAGAGGATGCAAGGCTTTGCAAGGAAAGCTCTCCCTTGCCTGCTCCTGAGGGGTGAGGGAGCGGTGCCGCGGCTCATCTGCTGTCCTTTATGAAGCTCCCCACTGGGTCTTGCCTCCTGCTCCCACCCGGCGCAGCCCAGCTCGGGGAAATATGCGGTGACGCGAGCCTGTAATGCAGGACGCGTAGCCCCTCCACGTTTGGCAGCTTATAAATGCATGTTGTCCCCTTGTGCTGTCTGATCTCATTCCTCCCCCTCCGGAGAGAGATCAAAACTGAGAGGAGGTCCGTGGCCCCAAGCAGCGGGCACTGAACCAGAAATGAGAACATTAAAAAGGAAGAGGGAGAAAATCGGCGATCCAGCGGACACGTGCAGGATCCCGAACCACCCAGCAGACACGTGCTGAATGCCAAGGAGGAGCTGTCGGTTCAGAGCGATGTTTCGGCTTCCTCCGTCTCAAGGATGGGGTCATGGGCTGTGCTGTCAGGTGGGGGACAGGAGAGGGGAGTCAGGAGACTGGGATGCGCTGCCAAAATCAAGATAACGGCTCAGCCGACGGCAGCTCTCACAGCAGCGGCTGGTACCAGCGTGCGTCGCAGTGCTGAGCCAAGTTCTCCTTGCAGTCCCTTCTCCATGGGTCAGACAGTCCTGCCAAACGAAGCAAAAGTGTTTAGCTTTGAAGGGTAAAGTCTAGACTGTGACTATAAAGCTGCCTCTGGCACTTGCAGCTCCTTTTTCCCCATTCTTCCTCCTTCCTCCCACCTCCTGCTCCTTTCTGGCTTCTGAAGTGCTTGTGTGGGTAACGAACGGGTGATTAGGTGGGATTTTAGTCAAGAACAGTGGTTAACTAAAGGTTTGCAACAATTAACAGTTAACTGAAGATTTAAAGGACACGGCAAAGTTAAGATTTCAAAACGTCGAGTGAGCAAGCCACTGGTATACATGAGGGACAAAAGCCTGATCCCACATTTAACCGTACAGGTTAGGTTATTGTGGGAGTCACTCCAGTGTGTGCTCAAAGCGAGGGGTTGCAGAGCTGGGTTCAGAGCTCCGTAAATGGTAGATGGGCAGGTACATCTCCAGGGGCATCAGAGACTTCCCCGAGGTAATACAAATCAGTTTGGGGAAAGCCCCAGCGTGGGTGTCTTGGGGGTGGTGGCTGCACTATTGTCTCAGCATCATTTCAAACTGGGCAGTAGGATGTACTTGGACAAGATTTTTGCAATGGTTGGATGAACCTTGCTTTCTGACTCCCTTCTACAGTCCTGTTCTAATGATTTGATGTCAAGGTACTTGCTTTCCATGTGATTTTAGCAAATAGCAGGATCATTGTTACCCTCACCTCAGAGCATCTAGGCTATTTCACCTTAACCCCAGAGTACCCATCCTCGCTTGTAGCTCTCGTTTGACTTGTGTTTGTCAAAGTCGGTTTAAGCCCAGGACAACTCAGAGAAAAGCTAACAGGGAAGCGTAGATCTCTTCCAAGACACAGAAGCTGCTCGTGCCTCTGTGACGTAGTATTGCGCTTCTAGAGAAAATTCTGCTGTGGGGTTAGTGGTGTGGAGGGATGGAGGACGGTTTTTAGTGCTGGGGATGATAATTTGTATTGCATGGCTGGAGAGGTGTATGTGGTTGCGCATCAGGACCTTGTTGTAATGGATATGGTGTGGCCCCAGGACAAAAGAAGTGTGTGCACGTGGCAGTTTGCAGGCCTATTTCAGGATGAGAGAGGCAGAGAAACAGCTGAGCTGCAATCAGAGTAGTATTTCGTTGGACAACAACATGTAGCATGCTGTGGTTTCCACTCACTGCTGCTGTCATCGACTTCACAGGCTTCGTGAATACAATCTGAAAGACGAAAGAAGGGCTGCGAATTTCCCCTGACCGCTTGTGACGTGGTCTTTCTCATTCTTCTGTCTCCGTAGTGAATTTGCCAAAGAACGAGAGAGGGTAGAAAATCGTCGAGCTTTCCTGAAACTCCGTAGGCAGCAGCAAATTGAACGGGAACTAAATGGATACTTGGAGTGGATCTTCAAAGCAGGTAAGGCAAGACATCTCCTGATCTTGGTTCAGTATGTTTTGTGGCAAGTAGAGCCTGGTGATGACCCAGGACAAGGGCCCCAGAACTAGTCCTCCGTGTTACTGGCCATTGGGGTAACCCAAGACTAGAGAGGGCCCAGCCAGCATTTGGTTTTGTTGGGCTTGTTTCTGAGCAGTCACACTAAAGTTAATGCAATAAGATCTCAGTTTGGTTAAGCAAAAATAAAGGAGCTGGGCCAACTTTCTTTATTGCTGAGATCAAAGCAATTGTCTTAATACAGTATAATATAAAAAGTGATACAGTGCCCAAATTCTCCGCAGTGGGGAAACTGTTCCCTTATATGAGTCATTTATATTTTATTTACTTTCCACCACAGCTGTTTTATAAGCCTCTCTTGTTATGATGGTAAAATACACTGGAGTGTCATTTTTATGAGCTACAGAGATCACTTGCATGAAACTCACCCCAGCACATATCAACATTGCTTTATAACTGTTATAACTGAACGTTGCACTTTATCACGAGCCGTGAGCAACATTAACAAGGACCCAAACATACTAATTTAACAAAAACCATCACGCTTTTCTTTTTCTTTTTATCGGACACTAAAGATTACAAATAACCTTTCTGCGTTAGAGAGTAGCTGATGTATATATTGACATAACCACAGTGCAATTGATTCACATAGCATCAAGAAAGCTTCTGGGGCTAATTTGCTTCCTGAGAAGCTGAAACATCTGAGTAAAGTGAGAATGACTTTTAAAACAATGATGATGAGAAAAAGAAGCGGTGGTTTCTCAAATAGATTTTCAGGTGCCTTTCTAGGCAGGTCAACTTCACCCTTGCCCTTTATAAATGGGGAAACTGAGGGCCAACGTTATATAGTGACTGGCCTGCCATCAGCCGGTAGACCGGTGGCAGAACTGGCACTTTGTGGTGCTCCTAAACCGTGGGCTGGCACCATACTAAAAGCCATGTCATCATTCCTTGTTTTGAAATCCATACTGATGCTAGAGGCCTGATGTGCTAAAATGTGCTTGTGCAAGCAAGTAATTGTATGGTCACAGCAACTCATTGCAGCATTGCACACGCAAAAGCTGTGTACAAGCCTCCTGGCACTATTCTGCGTATAAGTGGCTCTTTGTCTGGATTTACAGCTTCTCTTTTATGTGCACAACCCGAGTGCCAGTGTTTGAAAGAGCAGTTTTCACATGGCTCCCACTGCTTTGCTTCTGCTCTCTCCTCTGAAGCGCCCTGCCAGCCTGTGTGCCCAGGGGAGGGGGGCTCTGCCCCGCTGCAGGTCCCGGGGAGCACTGGGGGGGCGGCTGCGGTACCTCCCCCCAGGGCAGTGGTCTGGGCATGAGTTTGGACAACCTGGCCAGAGAGGAAAAGGACCGAAGCATTGAAATGTACAATAGGAAGAAGTAGCAGCAGTTTATATGGTGGCTTGAGCCCAGTATTTCCCATCGCGCTCTACAGAGTGACGGTTGAGTGCCGGTTGTGTTGGCTGACTTTTGTTCACTGTGACTGTTCAACAGCAACCGTCCTCAACTGGGTAACCACACTTCATTCTGTGGTTCTGTAGGATTCAAAAAAAGAATCATTCACTTTCCTTTCCATTTATAATTTGTCTTCTCATTTGTTTTCAGCTTTTGTGCTACCTCAAATTCAAATTAATGAATGGTTTATCCAGTGGCTGGAGCAGAGCGCGCGGTGGCTCTCCCTTGGCTCTAGTGCCATCTTGCTTTTAAGGCTCTCTTGATTTCTCGGTCTCTAAATCCTGGTCTCCCTATCAGGAAAATAAAGATGAGAATTCCTTTGCAGGGATAAGGGTTGCTTCATTTCGTTTTGGTGACTGTTTTGCCAAGAAGAACTATGCGGAGGTCATTAGCTGAACTTGTCTGAAAGTTGAGGTGGAAAAGTTATAAAACACAGAGCAAATCTCTGCGCCAGCTTTGCATCCCTGTGGGAACGGCTAGCTATTCTATTTCTGTGTTGCCAGTGCTGAATAAATGCCACATCAGTATAGAGTGAAGCTGCTGTAAAATGCCCGTCTTTTTATTTTGTCTAATAATACAGGATTCAGAAGGTTTTCTAGAACAGGGAAGTGTATGCAAAATAGCTGAATCAGAGAATAATAAAAATATTCTGTAAAGGCATTGTTGAAAATACAATAGGAGTATTAAAAAGCTTCCTAGTACAGCTGAATAATAACAATAATTAAAATCAACTTAGCAGTGTTAGTAAACCTTTGAATACAAAAGGTAGTATGAAGCCTAACCAAAACAGAGAATCCAGTGTTTAGAATTCAGGCACTGAAATTTGGGACTGTGCCGTCGATGGGGATTTCCCATTTCTGTTTTAGAGGCCAGGATTTCAGCTATGAAATTATAATGAATTTCCAAACTAGATAATCAGTCTTCCTTGTCCAGGACTGTGTGTGGGACAACGGCCAAAGCAAACTGCTTGGGTTGGGGGAGGAAAAGAGCCAGGGAGGATGGTCACAGACAGTCCAGCCTCCACAGAAATCTCTTGCAACAGCCCCAGGCAGTGAGATGTAATAGGCTTGTTTGTGTAAAAGAAAGAGCAAAAGCTCTTGGTATTCTGCTCTAATGTAGCTCTGGAGGATTTTGTTATTATTCATGCCAATATCTAATTGTTTTTTAAATCCTTCTAGCATCCTTGACCTCACTGAATCTTGTAGCAAGGAGTTCCACATGTTAACAGTCGGTTTGATTTTAAAAAAACAAACCAACCCACCAAACAGCATGTCCTGTCCTCGTTTTTAAATATGTTGCCTTTCTGCAGTGAGAGGAAGAGCTCAGGAGTGCACTTTGTGGTACTTTTTATTACTTTTCTTTCTCTGATCTCTCTCTACCTTGTTTCATCTTATTTTTTCTGCTCTAAAGCACGCAGAACCCATCTGCTCAATCCCCTCTCCTCCCACGGAAGGCTTTCCAGGCTTCTAATATTTGTAGTACCCTCCCTGAGCATTTTGTTTGTTTGTTTTTTCTCATTTATTTTTGATGCAAGGTAGGAAGAGTGGAAAGCTGCGTTCCAGTGATTCATAAAGTGGCATCTTAATACTTAATCTGGTTGGTTTTGTTCTATAATGTTTTACATATTCTGAGTAGTTGCTGGAGCTGGAAAGCTTTTCTTGTTCTTGGTAGTGCTCAAGTTTTTACCTCAAGAGCTGTAACTGGTTTAGGACCAAGGAAAGTATTTGAGTGACTAAAATCACTCCATCTGTACACTACCTCCCATTTGTCAACGATTATTTTAATTTAACATTGTGCTCATCATTTATTGACAACTCTTGAGCGTCTTTAATGTTTCTCACAGCCTTCTCTATTTGTAATCTGAATGATGTTATATTCTCTCTTGCTGTATCTATTGCATTAAAAAGGTGGTTCAGATAAAATTTTGGGGTTGTTTACTATCAACCCTTTCTTATACTGAAATTGTAGACTGTTTAGTCCTCCAGAAGAAAAGAATGGGTCTTTGTTTTCTACCTCTTAAGTGCTGTCTGACTTGAGCATGTTCCAGACCTGGTCTAATGACTTGTCTTACATTTGTGTTGTAAGAATGAAACTGCTTTCATAGCCTGGCTCTTGGGTAACTGACTTTTATATTTTTCTTTTTTTCTGGTGGTACTTTTATATTTTTTCCAGTGGTAAAATAAGAAGGAAATATTAATAAAAAGTGCCTGTGAAGTTTTCAAGGAGGTACCTTGGCTGAAAGATTTTGGTGCCAGCTCACTATTGATAAATCACCAGCTGCAGTTGAAACTGAAGCAAACATAGCTCAGGCTGTTTTAAATGTGGATTGTTTAATATAGTCAGCAGCATATCTGCTTGAGGGAACTATTCCAAGGTGTTTTCAACAGTGACAACCTTAATGTGCAAATACTTGTGTGAGTTATACTTAATACAGGAAGCCTTAATTGATTGAAGTGCTTAACAAATGCCTTCTTAACAAAGGGTTGGGGAACAAAAGAGAAAATTATAACACAGAGAATGTGCTGAAGTGCTGAATTTAGACGTGCATGACTTGAAAGAAAAAAAATCAACCCACGGTCTGACCAATTTCCTTAGAGTTGAATTGATTTTCTTCACTTAAGATTATACAGAGGCCAGGTATGAAGTTTCTAGCTTTACTTATTTCTCAGGTGCATGTTGAAGAATGAATACATAGGGTAGTCAGGAGGGTTTAAATATTCTCAAATGAGATAACAGATGATTTCATGTAAAATTCCCATATCATGAGGCCAAGACTAAGCAAGGAAAATTGTAACTCAGTAGGGTCTTTTTGAGGATGTCAAGAAGAAATGTCATGCCACCTTAAATGACGTGTAAATCTGTAAGTGTCTTCAAATCTGTAAGATTTGCAGTCTTTTAAAAGTGGTGCGAGTTACAGGCCAGAAGCAATGATCAAATGCTATCATTTCTTGCATCTCACAGAATTTAGGCCGAAAGTTCGTATGGTAATTGCCACGTCAAGCTCATAAACATTGACTCCCTGTATCGTTTAGAAGTGAACTGTATGGATCAGTTAGAAACAGACCTGTAATCTTAAATTCAACCTTGAAGAATAAAGTCAATTATCTGTTCTTTAGTAACTTCTTTAAAGGGTCCAACTCTTCCCACCACTAGAAGTCAGCTGATATAGGTGTAAAAAGCAATGCTTCGCACTGTGTTCCTCCCGTAGGCATGAGACAACAGTTCTCTTCCCCAAACGCCTCTTCTTCAGTTCAATCAATATTGAATAAAGTCTCGCTGGTGACGAGAAAACCCTGTCCTGTCCACCCGCTGTGTGCTGGGGCAGGCTGTGCTCCTTGTTTCACGTTTTCGTGGGGCTCTGGGCAAAGGCAGTAGCAAGTCGATTTGAAATTGTGCCTTTCAGAGGAATGAAAAAGTGGTGAAGCCAAGCAATGTAATCCATGCAAATGATTTTGCCACCGCTGCTTTCTCCATTAAGCTCCTCAAAACTGTAGCAACTATTAGGCTGTCACGCTGCATTTCCAACGGAGAGTGGAGAAATAAAAGTTCTCTGCGCAGAGTAGAGCGCTTATAAACCCACAAATATTCTTTTGAAGATGTTTCTCTTATCTTACAAGGACATGCATCATTTTGAAAACACTTTGCTCAGAGACTGGAAGTCTTTCAGTTCCGAGCTAATCAAGTTGCATGTCTTTTGCATTTTAATTCTTTTCAAGTCCATCTCTTTCACACAGCACTGATTCTGAGTGTTTCTTTTCTCCTGGAGTAAGCAGGCTTTGGGAATGGGTTTAACCTTTCTCTTCCGGCTCACTGTAACTTGAATGCCCTTCCTTGACATGACAAAGCTTTATGAGCCTCAGGTTTCAGCTTTCTGTAGCAGAAACAGAGCAACAAGCCCCTTGATACAGTTGGGAAAAGACACCTACATCAATGAAAAAGGGCAACAACGTGTGTGAGATGGCAAGGGAGGATAATTGCCAGAAAGACAAATTAGAGTTCCCCGTGAGAGTGGGATAGCTTCTTCTAAGGGATGCGTTTTTACTCACCTTTTCTATTTAACAAGTCTGAAGCCTCAGCAGTTAAATGCAGTTGTTCTTCCTTTTTTTCTAACTTCTGTTGCCTGTTGAACATGAGTTATTTCCTGTAATCTGCTCTTCTTTTGAGCCCACAATGTCCTATCTCCCCATGCCAAAGAGAAAGAGAAGGGGCACCATGTTTCTCTGCTGCTTTGCCTGTATTGTTCAGCTTGCCCGTTCCTCAGTACAAGGTTTGCCTTTATTTCCAGTCCTGTAACATGCTGTGTGTTGTCAGTACTTAATGACCAGCAATTAATCTTACTGCTGAGACACGTCCCGCTCTGATATCCTAGCGAAGCTCCTGTGCCTTTGTTTGGAGGCTAGAAGTTGCTGGTCTGATACTGTCTCTTTGCTGAATATTTCTTCTAATGTAGAGGCACTGTTGTTTGGAGGTTTTTCAGGTGCCCTCATTATCTTCTTCTGTGTTACAGTGATGACTAAAGGCAATGCAACTTCTGATCCTCTGCTTAGGATGCTGTATGGTTAAAAAAAAAAATCATAGCAATGATGATAGCCTGCTGAGCTGTCTTTTTAGCAGGCTTTACAAACCATGTAAAGCCCCACCAGGGTAGATGTGGTCCTTTGATTTCTGAGAGGGTACAAGACAGACAGGAGTGGCTATCAAGGGAGAGAACTGGGGAGCAATGGTGGAGGAGAGCCGGGCTTGAGGGAATTGCACAGGTGAAACCTGAGTTTTGTCATTTTAAGGGAATGGTAAAAACTGAACCCTGGTGAGGTATGTCTACGGATGGAGATATGTTTGGGCACCAATTCAGGGCCCTGAATTTGGGGCAAAGGCTCAGCTGGTTTGCAGAGTTGTCTCGAAAGAACGTGTACTTTGTAGATGACAATATGTTGATATCAAATTGTCACACCTTACAAATTCTGAGGTCTCACTGGCATTTATCATTCTGGTTTCTGAAACCTCAGTATGGCTAAACCTCTCATCAGTCTGACCGTGGGGACACAGGTGATACTGGAACATCAGTACACCATTGCAAATCACGATGATTACGTATCCATACAGTTCACAGTCCTCAGAGGTGATCTGGGGACTCAGGATTGCTCCTCGCTGGCTGCCCAAAGGACAGTGGAGAGTCATGACAAGTTGTTACAGGAACATGCAAAACAAGAGGCCCCTCGGAAACAGGGGGAAAGAAGAATATCTTTTTCCTACTCGGAGATCTTTGAAAGGAACCAGTACAATGATTTTCCTCCTGCACTTGATACGAATCAAGTGCAGAACTGAGCTTCCAGCTCAGTGAACAGGCTCTTTCTTTCCTGGAGTGTTTTAGTTTTTTTTAACAAGACAGGACTGAAACCAACAACCCTCGGAGCATTGACCGGTAAGGTTGTTGGCTCTCGCTGAGATCTTCCTCCTGCAGACACAGTGCTCTTGCATCGCACTCGCCTGGGTGTAGCCCCTGAAGAACAGCTGCCTGTCTTCTGACCTTTGCTACCTCATTATTTTCGTTGCTCACCACCTGCATGGAAGTGTGTCCACTCCCTGCAGTAGCTTGTATTAGTCCATTTAATTACCAAATGCTGCCTAAAATCAGCTTTTCTTTCTGGCAGTGGCAGAAGAGCTCCTCTGGAATGTGCTCGCTTTCGCGTGCTTGCTCTTTGTCGCAAGATCTAAATGTACACTCCACTCCAAATGGTTTTGAATTTTCACTGCAATTTGCTAGTACATAGCATAGGAAAAAACCACATCTGCGTTGTGCAGAGGAGCACAAAATGGAGAACCCCAAAGGACTGATGACTGAACTAATCCCTGGATCCAAAGGAGTGCAGAAACGTCTGCATGGCACTGTTGACTCTACTGGTACTAGGAGCTAGATTCGTTTTTATGCAGAGTCCTGTGCAGCGATGTGGGTATATCACCTTTAGATATGACATAAAGCTTTTAAGATCACACTCCATGAGCAATGTGGGCTTTAAAAAAAATCTATAGGAAAATGTCCACTGTAATAACATCTCAAGCTCATGCTCCTTCCAGCACAGGTTTGCTTTGCGTTTCACATTTACATGACTTTTGTCCAGCTGCCTTTAGGAAGAGGACTTCTACGTGTTTTAGGGCAGTCATATTCATTATTAATTGCCGTTTAACTCCTTCCATATTTTTAGCACCAGTACAGCTTTTCCCTAGGCAAGACTTCAGAAGAACCTTTTGGTTTCTGAGGTGCCAGTTTGAGAGAGAAGTCTCTTGAACTCTCTAAAAAATCCCATTTCACTTCTCTGACCTGTCTTAAGTAGCCTCGCAAAACACCTGAATTGTATTGGCTTGTGGGTTTTTGGAAGGATTTCATGCCTTTTAAAGTGCAGGATTTTAGCTCACCTGACATTTTTAACCCTCTCTCGGCTCTCCTTTCCTCCGTGTCTCTGGTGCGCTAGTTTGCACTTTCTTATTTTGTTCTCCTCTGCTTGGGTTTCCAGTCTTCCTCAGTCCTGGATATTATTTTTCGGCCTTCTCAATTTGCTGTTTTATTAATGTATCATTCACTCTCTCTCCCAGATGATTAATAAAGAGATTATATAAGGCTTGTGTGGTAGTGCTGATCCCTCTAGTATTCTTCTAGATGACTTTCAGCTGCACACTTTGATGTTTGGCCTGTGGTTTGTCTGTATTTCTTTTTTTCTGTTAGCCTTCCATCTAGGCTGGCTTAAATGGACTTTAAAGTAAAATTTTGTGGGAACACAGTGTCAGATGTTTTAGTAAGATCCCAAATTACATCTATGCCAAGCATGTGAAAGCATTTGTCATTTATAAAAATACAAGGAAGTGTACAGTTTACCAGCTGCCAACTCAATATTTTGTTTGCTTTAGATTGTCCTTTAGAAAATCCTCACATAATTTTACATCGGCAAGCTAAAATCTGTGGTTCAGACTGTATGAACTGTACGATTTCAAGTGTTGGCGCAGTGTGGTGTGTACTGCAAATTGACTTGGGTGATGACATTTGCATTGTGAAACCTCAAGAAATTTGGTTGTCTTTCATGCAGATAAAAACGAGTCAATTTTGGGAGGTTGGTTTTTCAGTGTTTTCTGAATTCTTTTACTGTAGGAAAGTATAAACTTGTATTTTGGAGATGAGTTGCACAGGAATGGAAAACCAATGGTGGTCTTGCACTATTGCACAACCTGAACTGTGCTAGCCAGAACTCCCCCATGGCAACTTTGCTTTGGACAAAGATTTGATGCAATGGCTATTTGGTGACATTCTATCTCCTGTGATGTGGCACAGCTGACATGCAGCAGCCGGCCCTGCTTGTGCTACCCTGTGCCATGAGACAGAGATCCGTTTCCCATGGGCTGCGTCCTGGTCTTACTGGTGGAGACAGAAGAGCAGCAATGGGTGTTGAGTATCCTTCACTTCTCAAACAGTGTCTCCAACATGGCTGGGCATGAGGGACCATCCTCTGGCTTGTGGAGACCTGTGGTGTTTCTTGCGTCTGAAGGAAGGGTGTTGGTCTCCAGAAGTCCCTTGTGGATGATAGCTGGGTAAAGAAACTGGAGTGGTGGTTGACTGTGAAGAGGCAAATCATGGAGGAAGTGCTGCAGTCTTCCAGTGGTTTGTCTGAGGGGTACAGGGTAAGAAACACGGCTCTCTGAGCCATCCCTTCCTCCACAGACTTGGTGTAACTGGGTGATACAATGGGGTAAGGTTGGTGGCTGCTGGGACAGATGCCTGCTGCATGCAGCTCAGCTGGTTTTAGAGCGGGGATGTGATAAATCTGTGGTTGAACCTTGCTGTTTTTCCTTTTACAGAGGAGGTCATGCTGGCAGAGGAAGACAAGAACGCAGAAGAGAAATCTCCTCTGGACGGTAGGTCGTTTTGCTGTGCAGATTTCCTCCTGTGATATGTGAGAGGTTCACCTGCTGTACACTGACATGGCTTTCTGTTGTAACCAGGAGGGTGTGAGGAACATGCTCTTGCATGCACTTGGCATAAGTTGGGCTAAAGAGTCCCTTTTCCTGTATCGGGTCTTTTTGAGGTTGCAGGTGGATGATGAGCAGTTATGTGACACGCCACTCTGGGATGGGGATCTGCCCTCGGGGTCGGTCGGTCCCTACGCTGCCTGTGGGACCGCAGCGTGACGGGGACACCCGTCAGCCTCTGCCGAGCATGGCCGGCTGTGTCTATGTGCAGGTTGTGGCGGGGGTAGGCTGCAGAGCGGATGCCAGAAGAGAAATGCATTGACCGAGAGAAGGCAGGGCTCTAAACCGAGGTTGCCAAATGGATTTGACAAAGAGACTAAGACCCCTGTTACTTGTAAGCAGTAAGACATAACAGGGTGTGGTGATCCTATCTTCCAACGTGTGACCCTAGCGTTGCAGGATGGCTGGAGGTACCAAGCTTTGGATGCAGGTGCAGCGAGGCTACGGGGACTCCTCTCCCTGTGCCTCCAGACCGATGAGCTCTTAGGATGCGACAGCCAGTCAAAGTTCAGTTAAAGATTCTTCCCTCTCCCTTTTCTGACCATCTTTCGTCCTCCCATGTCTCCTCCTTTCCCCTCCCCTCCCTTTCCCTCCTCTTTTTTTTTCTCCTCCCATTCACTGTCAGGGAGGGCCGCCTCGGAAGGGCCGATTCAACAAGGCACGGCACCGGCAGAGACTAGCAGCGGCAGCAGCTACAACAGTGAGTGGATTGCAAATCACCAGGGGCTTAGGCGGCACAGCGGGGCAGAGCTTCTCCCCCACAGCCCCACGTGCCCAGGTCACCGGTGATGTTTCCCGGGTGGTTTTGCATCTTGCTCCAAACCACGCGGCTCCTTGGGGCATCAGGCGCCCGGCCGCTGGTCCGCCTTGGCCAGCCTGGTGACCTGCGCTCGGGGAGGACTCGGAGATGGAAGAGCTGGGGCTGCAGAAGGTCAGGGCTGAGGTGTGCTTGGCAAATCTTCGTGCGTGGGCGCGGGTGCGTGGGTGTGCGTGCACTGTGGGGAAGTTTGTCCGGCACGTGGGTGCAGCCACGTTAGTCTCAAGCTGAAATGAGTGTCTGGAGGAATAGTCTGAAAAGCTGAGGGGTGTAAGCAAACTAGAGGTGGGATCAGGCCATGGAGTAAAGACCCAGGTATACTAAGGCTCCCTCTTTACCAGTAAGCTAAAGGAGCCCGGCAATGTTCCCAGCCTTGAAGCCAGCTGGTATGGAGCAGCCCACATCTATGCTGGTAAATTGTCTCAGTCTCCAAAACAGAGGCACATTGCATCCAAGGTGCCTGTAGAGATGGCACAACCTAACTGCTAAACACATGCAGGAGTTTTTGGGGAGAGAAGGTAAAGAAGAAGGTGCTCAATTCATGCCAGGGAGTGTTGTAAAACTTTACTCCCAGGGCTGGTTATGTTCCAGTGCTGAGGATGGCCCTGGACATGCTGGAGTGTACTGGGACAGATGCAGCCTGAAGGACCCAAAAGCTGGTATTGCTGGGATTGAGGATTCAGCCTACTGCTGGGTGGGGAAGAAAAGAGCAAAAGCGGTTATTTGCAACAAATTGAATCCAGACCACGGGTTCAGAGCACCCTCTCCTCTTTGAGCCTCTCTGAACCTGAGTGACGTTCTGGATGTTTCCTTGAAGTGACAAAAGCACTAACGCCTGCCTTAGCTGCGGAGGAAGAAGAGCATCCGTTTCTCTGTCAAGGCAGAGAAATTTGTGTAGGGCGAGGGGATCGTCTCGTACGAACCTGCCCCCAGGGTAGTCGCGGCAGAGTGAGTGGGTTTGCTGTGTGTGCCTACTGAACAGTATGTATCACCACACCGTGGGGTGTCTTACTGCTGATAGCAAATGGTGCTTAGTTACTGTATGTCTTGAAGCTGTTGCAAAACTGTATCAACGTATTTTTTTCTGCTAGTTCTCAAGGTTTTGCAGGTAGGTGGTCATGGGACCAGTGTCCACGCTGTTCCTGCGTTACCCCTCATGCACTGGGTGAACGGTGCGGAGCTCTCTGAGCCTTAGGTTGCAGTTCTCTTTCTTTTTTTTATGTTTGCCCTCCCCACAAAAGATGCTGTTGGACAAAGCGTGTTTTCAAAGAGTTACGACGTCCCCAGAGGGAAGGAATTGTACAGTGGGTGCTATTAAGAGTACGTTCACTGATTTGTGGCAGTTGCTTTTGACATAGCATTTCTGCTGCTTAAGGCATTGCTCTGTGGTAAACTGTATCCGAGCACCGTAAATGCTAACTTCTTAATGGTGCACACTGTAAACAGCATTAATGTTTTTAATGGATAGAAGCACTCATCTCGTAACCCACTGGGGCTCAGAAAGATTCAGTGACCCTGCCCAGCCTTTCTGCTGTGCTAAAAGGTCCAGCAGCTGCAGTGACTCCCCCACCCTCCTGCCTCTGCTGGGGTGAAGTGTAAGCGTGCAGACCTGTGCCTGGCAAGTCTTCGAGATCTAGAAGGTCAAATAAATAAACGACCCTGGCATTGAAGCATGCAGAGGCCCTGCAAGGTTGTAGGTTGTCTGATTTGCTCCAGCTTACCCTTCTGTGAGAGCTTTAAGCTGGCATTGGGAAGTAAATGCTGGCCCTGGAGAGTGAAGGGAGGGGGAGAGAGAATCCACTCCGAATGCTCACGGGGCATTTTCTCTTTAATTTGCACACAGTGTTGAAAAGAGCTGCAATAAAGAAGAGCAAAAATGACCTGATTCATGCTGAAGAAGGTGAGGACCATTTCACAGACATTTGCTCTGTTGGTGAGTACTGGCTTGGCATTCCCTGAGGTTTAGATCTCCACCTAAACGTGTTCATGTCATGTTTCCTCCGAGCGGCTCCTTTGCTCCAGAAGCTGCAGTTTCAAGAAGGAGAAATTACCACTGCTTCCACAGCAGCACCCAACTTACCAAAGCAAATGGCTTTGTGGCTTCACCCTCTCCCCCTGCTCCGCTATTGCATGCCTCACCCTTTAAAAGAGCCCTGCCGAAATGCTTGGAGAATCCGTGCTGTGTTGGCCACACCGTGATTCTGCTTGGAACATGCTCATTTATGCTAACGAAGCCCAAACACATCAAGTGATACTGCTAAGCCTCGTCTGTGTGGGGAGGAGAGGAAGTGGACGCTTAGTCACATCTGCCACTAACGCACAGTGTACAGTTTTGCAGCCTTTGCCGTGTGAATGGTTACGGGGAAATGCTGGGCAGTGGCCCTAATTCTCTCGTTCTTGCCATAGAAGAAGGTCTTAAAGCAATTCTCCATACTTTTAAAGCCAGATATGGAGCGACACACCTGTGTGCATGCAATTACCCACACACCTCCAATGCTGAGTGCGGCATCCTTCGTAGTGTAGCATTGATGGCGTGAATTTGGTATCTTCAGCTCTGGAGAATAAGGCACTGTCAGGCTGCAGAGGTCCTGCTTGTTCTGCAGTTAACAGAGAGCTAGTTCCCTCTGGGACGTTGCCAGGTGGAGAGGCAGGAGGCAGGTCTGGGGTTTGAAGGGCAGGCAGGCTCTGAGCACCCAGCACCCCGTCTAAGGGAAGCTCTTTGGACATCAGCAGAAAGACCTTTCAGTCGTGGGCTTTTACTTGCTGTCTGGGGAGACATCTTCCTGACTGCTTTGGAGTTAGCCATTTTGCTTATTCCTATCCCTGTTGTTTGAGTCTGTATTTTGTTTTGCTGCTGAAGCAGCAGATGTTCTCATTATCTTCCAAAGAAATGTCTTGGCACCCCAGTTACCACAGAGCAGCAAATCCTGGATGCATGAGAGTAGCAGCACAAACAGTACATTTGAGAGTACATGTCCATATATGCTTGCAAGCATGAGTGCCTCAAATGCTCTTTGGAAATTTGGCATTAACATTTTAAGAGATTACAGCTGCTGCTGGATTTTTTTTTTTTTTCCTTCCCTTTAAATGAAGACCTGGTTGCAGGAAATTAATGTTGCTCAGCATGTTACTGACCCCATCACCCACTGTTGAACTGCCACAATCCCCCAGGCTGAGCAGGCTGCAGGTTTTGTGGCTAAACTGCTGACACTGCTATGAGAGGTTTATTGCTGAAAGAGAGCAAAAATGCAGCAACCGTGTGCATTTTTGTTTTGTTTTATTCTGGGCAGCTCGGATCCCTGCATGGATAACAAGGAATGGTCATTTATGGAACATTTGTTCATGGTTGCAATAATTATGAGATCTTTGCATTCACATCCAAGTCCCTCCAGGCTCTGGGCACCCATGCCACGCAAACAGATCTTTGAATTCAGCATTTCAAGTGGCAACGGATGACGGGGCATCTGGACTCGTGGGTAATCTGATGCAGAGCTGGGAACTGTCTCGGGAGCATATGGCAGGGAAAATAACAGCAGTGCTTTCCACCTTCTGCGAGTGGTTCACCCACTTGGGAAAAGCGGTTTTGATTTTGATTCGTGGAGCAAGGCAGAAAAGAAGAAATGGATAAAGCAGATACTGCTGCAGGCTCCTGAAAAGGCTGAAACTCTGCATAATGTAAACAATCAGATCATATAGGCAATTATGCACTGAGAAAAGGTTTTTTTGGATGGTTTCCTATAATGTCTTGTTGATGGGAGCATAAGGACTGTGGAAGAACTAACAATATAATTACTGAGTGCAACGTTAAGATGCAGACCAGAGTGGTAGAGACTTTGACAGGTCTCTTGCTGGCCGTTGACTGAATACTTTGCACTTTAATTCAAACACAAGTACCTCAATGAGCCTTATAATTGCATTATAAAGCTCTATAGTGGTAAACACTTCCCAGTGTGTTCTCTGGAGTTGTTCTTAACGTTTATTCTTTTCTTTCCTCCTAACTCTCGGCCCTTCTTTCTGCACTAATAAGCGTGCAGCAGTAGATGCTGGCTCCTTCTGGCTTCCCACCCTCCATGCTGTACCAGACACAGGACACTGTCTTGATAGCCAGACAGAGAAGTCTGGAGAAGTGGATGTTTTCTACATTTAGATCAGTTTAAATACTATTGCTTTTCTTTTCTGGAAGATCAGTAGAGCCAGTAGAGAGGGGACGAAAGGGCAGCAGACTATTCCCATGCAAATCTGAGAGGTCTTAACCTGCTAAACAGTGTTATGATACAGTGCAGCCTGTATCTTAACCTGTAGTTCATTTTGTTGTCTTAAAGCAATAGATAAGCACTATGATTTTTTTTTTGTTTTTTAAAACTGCCAAAGGGAGGATTATCAAACTAACAGAACCAGCACACTGAGCTTTTCCACAAGGAGCTTGTTCGAAGCCTGGCCAGGGCCAGCTCTGCATTTGGCGTGTTGGTGGATGGCCAGAAATGTGAAATGAGGCAGAGTGCTTGCTTTCTATTGGGGAGACGACGTAGCACGCTCTTGTGTAGCTGTGAGGCTTGGAGAACCCATTGCTGTCACATCTGGATGCTTCATCCTTTCTATGGGTGCTGTGTTTGATGTTATTGCAGGATGAAACACCCCTTCCAAGTGTTGAAATGTAAACGAGCACACTCAAAAATTTGGCTGCCGCAGCCAGAACACTTTGTTCGTGTAACTCAGCCATCTCCGATGAGAGCCCATGCAAGTCACCTGCTCTCTCGGTGCTTGGTCCAAGAGAGGACGGTGCGTGTCCTGGTCAGCCCTTCCCTCTGGAAGGCTCCGTCCCGTGATGGGGAAGGGCAATAGCATATTGCTGTGCCACAAACCATCTTGAAACAAGGTTCGCTGGCAATTTCTGAGGGGTGCCAGCACAGCGTGAAACAGGTAGTGGACAGCCTGCAGCAATCACGATTTGCCCTGCTTGCAGCAGTGTCTGCGGCTGTTGCAGAGGAACTCCAACGGATGCATGTGTATATTACTAACGTGTGCTGATTTCTCCTGCCTCGGCACTGGCCGGAGAGTGCCTGTTCATCATTCATTTGAACAGTGCCTGCTACCACAGGGGGAGAGCTTACGTTAGAAGTAATTTCTTCCG